TTTCTCTATTTTTCTCAAATATTAATGTCATTGTATTACGATAAGAAAATTCGTGTGTAGTGTTTGTCTCGGTGCAAAATATTAGAATACAGATAGAGAGAATGATGATGATCAAAGCTTGAAGTTTTTCTTGGTTGTTGTTTTTCGAAAAGAGATTATGGTCAGAAAAAAAATATATATTCAATGGACACACACACGTTTATCATCATCATATTTCGAATGTTTTTTTTTTCTTTTGCACAACAACTAATAATGATAGTTCTCAATTTCATTTAGAAGATGTACATTTCTTATTTTGCTTTGCTTTTTGTTGTATTCCTCGAATGAGAAAAATTTTACAGAAAAATAATAATAGGTGTATGGTTGGTTTCTGTTTGATGGACAGAAATTTTTTTTTGTTGTATATATAAAAAGTGAGAGAGAATCTACCAAAAAGAAAAAAACGATGTGAGAGAAATGTGAGAAGATTGTTGTTGTTGTTGTTGTTTTTGGTTGTTATTATTGTAAGATGAATGAATGATGATGATTTTCATTATCATTCATTCAATGTAGAGCTGGCCTCTGGCCATGATCACGATCATCATCATTCTATCATTGATTTAGTTTTATCCAAATTGGATAATTCAATAGTGGTGATGATGTGCGGCGTTTAATATGTTTTTGTATGCATCAACTTTTGGCAAATTGAACATTTTGAATTTTGAAAAAATGATTCAAAGACAATGGTTTGTATGTAATTCAATTGATTAATGAATTTTGTTTTGTTTTTTTTGATATTAACAGTTCCAGAATTTCAACGTTGTTCCAGATTGAAAATTTCATCAACAACAACAACTATCTATCTGTCTATTTAATTTTCCATTCTCGAGCTACCCTGTAGAATCCGGGCTTTTGTAGACATTTAAAGTGTCAGAAGCTCGTTTCTACAGGTTTCTTGTCAATGGACCATCATCCATTGTTTTTTTTTTTCGTTCTTAATTACGAAAAAAAATAAATAAGACGGATTTGATTGTTAAGAAACTCATTGAAAATTGTTATTTTGAAAAATTATTCTACCGTTTTTTCCAGTTTTTCTCCAGATTTTTAGATAATCATTTCGGGCATTTGGATGGTCGGATATTCATTTGTTTTTTTTGGATGGATCAACCGATTTTAAAGCCTATTTGGCAGCCATTCATCATCATATAATGAAATTTAACTGATATTTTTCAATAAAAATAAATTATTTTTAAAAAAATATGCTTTTGTGTGATCATTTATTCTTTGATTAGAGAATATTCATTAAAGTTTCAAAAGGAATTTATCCAGAATTTTTTTTGAATGATATTTTTAAAATTTTCTTTGAAAAAAAGATGGCAGCACGGGTTTCAATTGGAATTTATTCATACAAAATCCATGAAATTCAAACGAAATTTTCGTTGAAAAAAAAGATGGCAGCACTGGTTTCAAAATTGAAATAAAATTGTATACAATTTCCCTGTCATCTATTGTTCAGAATTTAAACTATTTTTTTTTGAATAATTTTACCGCAATCTGATGTCGCCAAAATGCGAATTATCATAATTTCAAGACTGAATCATTATAATCATTACATGTCCAAAACATTCAAAACAATAATCAACATTGATTCATCAAAGTTTATTTTTTTTTAATTTGGTTAGAAAAAAGATCTATGTAATATAAGGCGCGAAAATAATTTGTTTAGCACCGTAGCAGATTAAATCAGGTATGTGAAATTGAAATCTACAAAAAATATTAATTTTGAAAGAATAAACGATTCTATACCATCATTTATGTGTGGTTAAGGTGTTTGTGTGTCATTGTGTATGTTTAATCAATTAATGTTATTTGGATGGAGCAAATATTTGAATATCATCTGATTCATCGTCTTGTTTCATAATCATTTTTGCACGTCGTTTTATTTCCATCAATCGACGTTGTCTTTCTTCATTACGTGGACTATTTATATTTTCGATAGTTGTTGATGTTTTATTATTGTTAGTATCGTATTTTCTTGGTGATGATGTGGTTATTTCATGTATGTTGCTTGATGTTTGTCGCGGGAAAATTCTCGATTTAGGACTCATCTGCTGAAAAAAGAATAGAAAAAGAATGGAAAACAATGTGTTAATGAAATTGCGAAGTCGAGATTAAAGATCAAATATCAAAAGAAACCCAAAGAAAAAAAACAAACAAAAGAAGAAAAATGATTATGACATTATTTGGTAAGAAATTTTTTTTTATCCTTAGCCAACTCTTATTTTTTTTGTGAAAAATTTACAGTTTTATGATTGGAATCTAATTGATCCGAAGACGATTCTTCTGTTTTTGTTGATAATTTCCATTGATTTTGTTTCAATTGAATCAAATGATCAAATGTTTGATTTACATCTACAACTTGTATCATGACCATATCCCAAAATCCTTGTAGATCATCATTTTTAATTCTGAATGGTTGGCCATCCGTTTGATTCTAAAAATGAAATGTAATTAAAAGTAGAAATTATTAGTGAAAATAGAATAGAAAAGTATCACTTACAATACTATCTTCACAAAGTTTTTGAAATTGTTGAAATTTTTTATCCAATAAAAGATTTGCCTTTCCAATGGCTACACGAATTTTTCCTATACATTCTTCAGGAATGTCTTTGGGATTCGTGATTAGCCATTTCTCACCTTGTTGTATTTTATTCTGTATTCTTGATTTTTGTTCCTGAATTTTTTCCAAAAATATACGACCATCATTTTGGCCATCATCAATTGGATTTCGATTCGATTGCGGTTGATGTTCTCTTAGCCACCAATCTTTATCGTATGATTTATTTGTTGTATCTTCGGATGAATCTATATAGAAATAAAATTTGAAAAAAGCCAAACTTTCAATTCAAAACAAAACTATTTTACCTGTATGATCGACGGAATTTATTTTCTGAAATAATTTACTACTTGCCAATGTTGTTTTAATTTGATTAGCTGGTGATTGATCAATAGGATTCGGTTGAATACTTTTTTCAATTGATTGACCTTTTTTTACACGATTTTTATTCCAATCTTCGGCAAATGTTTCACCATAAAGACTTTCAACTTTTTTTTGTAGAAATCCTTTATTCGATGATTCTGCGGGAAGACTTGTAAAACGATCATCAATTGGACTACGTAGTAGGGAATCATCACGACGATATTCCGATGTATAACGATTATATGGTACATAACCATGATTTACACGACTAATATTTACATATGATGGTTGATTTGTTTGTGTTGGATTTTGTGTTGATTCAAAATTCTGTTGATTTGCAATCATTTTTTCTGTTAATTTTTCGCTATTATTAACGTTTTCAGTTGAATAATCAGATTCAGAATGAAAATCTATCAATGGTGAATAAGAATTAGCATTTGGTAAACAAAAAGAAAAAAGGATTACCAGAAGATTGATCCGGAATTGGATATAAATTTGATAATGAAATTGATTGTACAATTTGAGTATTGATATTTGAATCGTTGGATATTTCAGATTCAGAATATATAATCAGATTTGGTTGATCAACAAAGTTATTATTATCGGGATTTGTTGTTGTAGTTTGTTGACTATTAAAATTGATTTTCGAAATATTTTGTTCAATTATTGTATTCACTGGATCGTTGAGTTGTTCGATTTGAGTGCTGTCACCATCGGTAATCTCCTATGATTTGGGTTAATTAATTGAAGAGAAAAAATGAAAATCAATGAAACAAAACAAAAAAAAAACTAATCAAAATGTTCTACAGATAAAGATAAATAAGGGAAACAAATAAGGGAAAAGCAGGCGGAAGCAAGAATTAATGTTTTTTTTTGTGTGTGTTTTGATCTAATCTCTAGCCTAGATTCTAGATTTTTGGCTGTTCCATAATCATTATCATTCATTTTCAGTCACCAACAAGCTATGCGAACTCGAACAAACAAAAATTTGACTAATTAGGACAATAATCATGCTCGATGATGATGACGATGACATTTTTTTGGTATATGCATAATGTCAAATTGAATGAGATGAATGAATCTAATTAAACTAATTTTGAATTTTTTTTTTGTTGTTGTTTGAAGAGATTCCATATGTACCTCGATATGTAATTTAGGAACATTGAATGTTGATGATGATGATTGTTGATGAGGGAAATTTTCCCGGAACGATTGTTGTTGTTCGATGATGGAATTTATTTCTGATTCTTCCGGAACAAATTGCTGACAATGTATTATATCCGATTTGTTTAATGTTTTTCCATTCTGATAGGTAAGACGTTTCGGTTGTGGTTGTTTCTTTTTCAGTAATGTTTCAGCAGTTTTTTTTGAATTTAAATCAACAAGTGATGATATACGTTTTAAACAGGAAAATTTTCTAAATAATGATTGTAAATCATTTGTGGTTGAACTTAGACATTTAGAAAATTGTCTTAATTTTCCCGATTTTGCGGATGATTGTTGCGTTTCATGTTTATCATTGCTCACAAATGTTGTTGATGGCAATTTATCTGCAATAAAATCTTCTTCAAATATTTGCCGAGGAAATTTTCGATGATGATCATCATCTGATTCAGAATAAATTGATGATGATTGTGATTGTGAAGAATATTCTACAGAATCATTCGAATTACAACGAACTAAACTGGCAAATGTTTGACTACGATAATGTTCATAGCGAAATGTAATCACATCATCATCCTGATCTTGATCTTGTTCCACCAACAACACTTTGGATTTACTTTGATCATTTGAATCTTCATAGGAAACAAAATTATAATTTAAATTTATTTCAATTTGTTGTTGATCATTTGATGAAGAATCTAAGTGTTGATCAAATTGATTAAAATCATTTTGATTCATTTCGTTTTGAAAAAACTTTTTCTGAAGCAAAATTATTATCATTCAATAACTAACTGACGATGATGATAGTCGAAACAATCGATTTGAAGTGCAAAAGATCAATGAGGACATTTATTTTCAATAGAATCACAGAAGCAGAACAATTGAATCTTGAACAAACAAAACAAAACTTGTCATTTACACCAATCATCCTCGTGATGATGATGATGAACTTTTTCGATTTTTGTTGTTGATGTTGTTGTTGTTAAACAGTGTGATCATCATCATTATCGAATAGAAATTCTGTATCATTCTATGAACAAATCGATCGATCGATCATTTTGTTGTTGTTGTTGTTATTATTTGATTGACAACAACAACAACAAATGATGATGATGCCTGTTATCATGTGTGTTTGTTGTTGTTGTTGTGATAGATTTTTGTCGTTTTTTTAAAGATCAAAATAAATTCATGTTTGAATGATAATACCGTTTAACAAACCAAACAAACAAAACAAAACAAAAACAGAACAAATGCCATTGTCATAACATTTAGATAATTCGATTTAGTAATTCGATTTAATGGATCGAAGCAAAGATAGATCATTCAATCAATCAATCCTATCGATGATGATGATAATGTGTTTTTTGTTTTCATTATTAATGTCGAATGTTTCAAACCACTAAAGCTAATTGTTTGTATTTTCTGTTTGTTTTGTTTGTTTTGTTTTAAATTCATTCAGAAAAAAAGCTAACTAAGTATCCAAATTGATACATATACACATATTGACAAAGCTGGCACACATAATTCAAAAAGTAAAACAAAAAACTAATGAAAAGTGAAAAGCAATGGATAGAGGAATGTTATTAAGCGATGCGATATTTGCGAAAGCGGAATAGTAATGTACTGGATATATAAAAAAAGATAAAATGAATAGAGAAAAAAACAAAGCAAAAATGAATTTCTGAAACAAGGAAAGTGAAAAGAAAGAAAAGTGACAAAAAAAATTTACCTACCAATGCTTGTTTGTTTGTTTTTGAGAATTTTATTGCCAAAAAAAGAGACTAGATGAATTTCAAACAAAACTAGGAAATGAAATCAACACAGAACAATTTTTGTTTATAATCAAAATCATTCGATTGATGATGTATGTAGTTTAGTTTATCATTAGCAGAAGAAGAAGAAGAAGCTGAAAATCCAAATCAATCGATCTTGAAAATAAAGTTTTAATGTGGATGTTTAATGAGGATGTTTGTTTGTTTTTTTTTTGTTTTGATTATCACCATTCAACACTGAAGATACTATTATTGAGTAGTATTTGTGAAGAAGAAAAAAAAAAGATTTGCAATAGAAAATATATCTTCAATAACAACAGCAATGATAATAATAATGATGTGACATAAATTGGTTTTTTTTTTCAGTGGTAGATAGATTTTGTTGTTCGTCGTTTTAGTATTGTCGTTTGGTTTTCATTTTCATACAAATATTATATCAATTGCAATATTGAGCTTTTGGTTGACTATCATCACATAATGATATTAATGTATTTGATTGATGATAATGATGTTTGCAATAACAATGTTAAACTTGGTGTGTCTTTATTTCAATAGAATGAATGAATGAATCAGACTGTCAGTCAGTCAGTCAGTCTGTCAGTCAATCAATGGACATCATTGATGGATTCACCATGAATTTTGAATGTTGTTTTTCCAGTTCCTCATTGTTATTGTGTTTGATGGCGTGATTATCAATGATAATGTTGATGATTGAAATAATACAAAGGATGGGTAGGTAGCTCTAATACTGCTGCTGCTGCTGCTGCTACTCACCCGAATTTGGGTGGATTTTTTTTGCTGTTTTGTTTTGAATCAAAAAAAAAAAAAAAAAAAAAAAAAAAAAAAAAAAAAAAAATGAATCAAACCCGAATGAAATGAACAACAACCACAGTATTTACAAAATGATTCAGCAGATTCTATAGTATACTATAGTAGGTTTTTTTCTGGGTAAATAAAAAAGTTTGACAGTCATAGTGGAACAAGAATTTCCTATATNTGCTGCTGCTACTCCCCCGAATTTGGGTGGATTTTTTTTGCTGTTTTGTTTTGAATCAAAAAAAAAATGAATCAAACCCGAATGAAATGAACAACAACCACAGTATTTACAAAATGATTCAGCAGATTCTATAGTATACTATAGTAGGTTTTTTTTCTGGGTAAATAAAAAAGTTTGACAGTCATAGTGGAACAAGAATTTCCTATATATACACACATTGTCTCGGGACTAGTCTATTTTCGGTAATATAGTTCGGTTATCATAGATAAAAAGGCATAGTGGTTGGTTGGTTGGTTGGTTGGTTTATTCTGACCGTTTATATTTGCTAAAAAAAACGTGTCATAACAACAACAACAACAACATTGATTTGATTTGATTTGATTTCACAATGATGAAATCCATAAGAAAGAAAAAAACAGTGTCATGGATACAGCATTGGATTTTTTTCCTCAATGAAAAACTCAAAATTGAAGAAAGAAAATGCAAATTTTATCGTTGTTTTTTGTTTTTTTTTTTTTTTGGTATAGACGTAAAACACAAAAAAACACAATTAAATTCAATGAATGAATGAATGAATGAATACTCAATTGGCTTGTGATTTGTTTGCTGTGAAAACCAAAAAAGGTTTAGGCATTTTTTACTTTTCACAACAACACTTTCATTCATTCAATCAATATGGAAGCAAAACAAAACAAAACAGCAGCAGCAGGTATTCATTTTTTTCTTNTTTTTTACAAAAAAAAAAAAAAAAAAAAAAAAAATGAATCAAACCCGAATGAACAACAGAACCGCAGTATTTACAAATAGAGATTCAATTCAGCAGATTCAGGGATTCTATAGTAGTTGGTTTTTTTTCCTATAGGAAAAAAGTTGACTGAAAGTTGGTAGTGGAACAGGAATTTCATTTACAACATGGTATATATATATCAATTGTCGGGACTAGTCTATTTTCGGTAAAATACGGTATAGTTTTTCGGTTATCATAAATAAAAAGGCATAGTGGTTGGTTGGTTGGTTGGTTGGTTGATGTATTCCAAAAAACGTGTCACAACAACAACAACAACAACATTGATTTGATAATGATGATGATTTCACAATGGCTATATCCATTAAAAAAATCAGTATCATGGATACAGCATTTTTGGTTTTAGTTTTTGGCTATTTTTCCTCAATGAAAAACTCAAAATTGAAGAAAGAAAATGAAAATATTAATGTTCTTTTGGTATAGACGTAAAACACAAACAAACAATTAAATTCAATGAATGAATGAATGAGAATACTCAATTGGCTTGTGATTTGTTTGCTGTGAAAACCAAAAAAAGGTTTAGGCATTTTTTACTTTTCACAACAACACTTTCATTCATTCAATCAATATGGAAGCAAAACAAAACAAAACAGCAGCAGCAGGTATTCATTTTTTTCTTAAAAAAAATTACCTGTTGAATGAAAATAAAAAATTCGAAGGTAATATATTCACAAGTCTGTGTTTTGTGTGTTTCTATAAACCACTATTATTGTTGTTTTTGTTGCTGCTCACCTGGCATATTGAAATATGGTTGTTTATATATACAAGGTATACCTGCAATATGAATGATTAATGACAGGTAATCAAAGAATTTAATTCAAAAATCAAACAACAACAACAACAACAAAAGAGAAAGTTTTTGTTTCAAAGAAATTTTCGAAAAATTTTTTGGGAAGTGGGAGGAAAAAAAAGAGGAAGGGGAAATTAAGTGTTAATCCAAAATGATGATGAATGAAAGAATCACGTGGGTGTGTGATGGTGGGCGGAGAATTTCTGTCGTCTGTTTAATTTTTCGTTTTTAAAAAATTTTGCAACAAAGAATTCAATTTCCTAAATTCAGTTTTTTTTTAATTTTTCTTTTCTTTTTTTTTTTTTTTTTTTTTTTTTTTTTAAAATTTTCAGAGTATTTTTTTTTTTCAGGTTCAAGTGTTAATT